AGTCTCTGAAGCACGACGGTGCTTTCGAGTCCACGGCAGCCACGGAGAATAGCGGCAGCTCTGATTTTCTGGAGTCGACCGACAGGGACATGCTCGACGCGAAGTACTGGGAAGTTAGCATGTACAAGAACGCTCTCGAGGGGAAAAGGGGGGAGTTTGCGGACGCGGATTTGGACAAGGACGGGGACTTGGACGTGCAAATAACGAACAAGCTGAGGCGAGATGCGTTCCTCGTGTTCCGGGCCCTTTGCAAACTTTCCATGAAGGTTGCTCCTCAGGAAGCCATGGATAATGTCTCGTTGCGTGGCAAGATTTTAGCACTGGAGCTTCTGAAGCTGCTGCTGGAGAACGCTGGTGCGGTTTTCCGTACAAGCGACAGGTATGGCGTTTTCTCTCTTTCTCTTTGAGTTCCTCACGATTGACGCTTTGGTTGCTGGAAATGCAGGTTTGTCGGCGCCATACGGCAATACCTCTGTTTGTCACTTCTGAGAAACAGTGGTATACAGCTGATGAATATTTTCCAACTATCCTGCTCGATCTTTATGAGTCTGCTTTTGAGATTCAGAGCAGGACTCAAGGCTGAAGTGGGTGTTTTTTTTCCGCCGATCGTTCTTAGAGTGCTCGAGAACGTGGCTCAACCAAACTACCAGCAGAAGATGATAGTCATTCGGTTCCTAGATAAGCTTTGCGTGGACCCGCAAGTTCTCGTCGACCTGTTCGTTAACTATGACTGCGACGTCGATTCCCACAACATTTTTGAAAGGTATGCCTCGATTGAATTCAAGTTCTTCGCTGATAATTTGCTATTTTCTAGGCTGGTAAATGGACTACTTAAAACTGCTCAAGGTGTACCTCCGGGCGTGGAGAGCAGTTTGACTCCTATCCAAGATGCCGCTATGAAGCTTGCTGCAATGAAATCTCTTGTTGGCGTGCTACGATCGATGGGGGACTGGGCCAACAGGCAGCTTAGGTTGTCAGATGCAGCCTACCTGAGAAGTTTGGATCAAACTGACAGCACCAGTGAATCTAATTCCGTTGGTCACAATGGTTTTGAGGAAAATGGCGATGGTGCTGAGTCTCGCGTCTCCGAAATCTCTTCAGAAACGTCTGAAGTGGCAACTTTTGAGCAACGGCGTGCTTACAAGTTGGAGTTTCAGGTACTGAAGTTCTATGCTTCTTATCATATTCTCACGCTAGAAAACTGCAGGAAGGCATTTCCCTTTTCAATCGGAAGCCTAGCAAAGGCATTCAGTTCCTGATTAATGCCAAAAAGATCGGCGATTCGCCGAAGGAGATAGCAGGATTTTTATTAAGTTCAACCGGCCTGGACAAGACTGTTATCGGAGACTATCTGGGCGAAAATGACGAGCTGCCTCTAAAGGTTATGCATGCCTACGTTGACTCCTTCAATTTCCAAGGAATGGAGTTTGACGAGGCCATCAGAATCTTTTTGCAAGGATTCAGACTTCCAGGAGAAGCACAAAAAATTGATCGTATCATGGAGAAGTTTGCAGAGCGATACTGCAAATGTAATCCCAAGGCCTTTACCAGTGCGGATACCGCCTACGTGCTTGCATACTCTGTTATTCTGCTGAACACTGACGCACACAATCCGATGGTTAAATCCAAAGTAAGTATACTGTTTTCCTTTTACTTCTGCCAACGGTTAACTGCAGATGACAAAAGCGGAGTTTATGAAGAACAATCGGGGAATTGACGATGGAAATGATCTACCCGAGGAGTTTATGAGTGCTTTATACGATCGTATTGTTAAGTGCGAGATAAAGATGAAGGCCGACAGTCTTGTCCCAACAAACAAGCCTACAAACAGGATACTCGGCATCGAGAGTATTTTGAACATCGTTATTCGTAGGCCCAAGGAAGACAGACTGCAGGAAACGAGCGATGATATTATAAAGAACATGCAACAGCAGCTGAAAGAGAAGGCTGGCAAATCGGGGTAAGAGCATTTCTATTTCTTATATTTCTGAGAACTTATTTGAACGTTCTTGCAGCTCTGTCTATTACTCACCGTCTGATGTCGAGATCTTAAGGCCCATGGTCGAAGTTACATGGGCTCCAATGCTTGCAGCCTTCAGTGTTCCACTGGAGAAGAGTGAAGACGAAGTTATCACTTTTCAGTGTCTCGAGGGATTTCGATACGCAATCCGCGTTACTTCTATTATGTCTATGCGGACAGAGCGCGACGCATTCGTGACTTCGCTAGCGAAATTCACATATCTTCATTCGCCCGCTGATATAAAACAGAAGAACATAGACTCTATTAAGGTATTTTTTCTTTCTCCTCTTTTCATACTCATAATGTAATTCCATGCTGCAGGCGGTGATATCCATTGCCGATGAAGATGGAAACTATCTACAGGAAGCCTGGGAGCACGTCCTGACGTGTGTTTCTCGCTTTGAGCATCTCCATCTTATTGGTGAAGGCGCTCCTCCTGATGCCACCTTTTTCGCCGCCCCGCAGTCCGACTCCGATAAAACAATGCAGCTGAAATCGCCTGTCCTTCCTGTGCTTAAGCGGAAATGGCCTGGACGAATGCAATATGCTGCTGCTGCCGCAAGAAGAGGATCGTATGAAAGTGCTGGAGTTGGAGGAAATTCGGCTGGGTCGGTTACTGCTGAGCAGATGAACAACTTGGTTTCGAATCTCAACATGCTGGAGCAGATTGGCAGCTTCGAGATGAACAAGATATTTACCCGCAGCGACCGATTGAACGGCGAGGCAATTGTGGATTTTGTAAAAGCGCTTTGTAAAGTTTCGATGGAGGAGCTACGATCTCCAACTGATCCTCGGGTATTCAGCCTCACCAAAATTGTTGAAATATCGTAAGTAATCTGTGGCTTCTTTCTGGTCTCAATTTTCTAAATTACGCTTTTTGCAGGCATTTCAACATGAACCGCATCAGACTCGTTTGGTCGCGAATCTGGAACGTTCTCTCCGACTACTTCGTCACGGTTGGGTGTTCTGACAACTTGTCCATTGCAATGTATGCAATGGATTCATTGCGTCAACTGGCAATGAAGTTTCTGGAACGTGAAGAGCTGGCAAATTACAACTTCCAGAACCAGTTCCTGAAACCTTTTGTTGTGGTTATGCGGAAGAGTAATTCTGTTGAAATTCGGGAGCTGGTGATTCGCTGCGTGTCGCAAATGGTTTTTGCGCGCGTTAAAAACGTGAAGTCCGGCTGGAAGATTATGTTCATGGTAAGTTTTTCTCATAGCTCGCATGCACAAGCTGACTGTCATTTTCTAGGTGTTTACCACGGCAGCTACAGACGAGCACAAGAGTATGGTGCTTCTGGCTTTTGAGACTATCGAAAAAATTGTCCGGGAGTATTTCTCGTTCATCACGGAGACAGAGACGACAACGTTCACAGACTGTGTTAACTGTCTCATCGCTTTCACAAATAGCAGATTCAACAACGACATCAGCCTGAATGCTATTGCATTTTTGAGGTTCTGTGCGCACAAGTTGGCGGAGGGCGAGCTTGGTGCTTACGTAAAGAAGGAAGATCGCGTGGCAAATGGTGATATGTCTGAGCCGACTTTTACTGATCGGGATGATGATTTGCATTTTTGGTTTCCCTTGCTAGCAGGTAAATTTGTTTTTTCCGTTGTTGTGGAAGGTGTCTCATACTTTCTGTGTTTCGATCTTCTCTAGGCTTGTCGGAATTGACATTCGATCCTCGGCCTGAAATTCGCAAAAGTGCTTTGGAAGTGCTTTTCGATATATTGCGGTCGCACGGACATATGTTCTCTCCAGCGCTCTGGGAGCGAGTCTTTGACTCGGTTCTACTTCCTCTCTTTGATTATGTCAGGCGAGCAATCGAGCCCTTACAAGCAGCGGAAGATGATCACCCAGAGTTTGAAATGGATGCGTGGCTGTACGAGACTTGTACCCTGGCCCTGCAGCTTGTGGTGGACTTGTTCGTAAAGTTCTATCCGGTGGTCGCCCATCTGTTAGGGAGAATACTGCTGCTACTTACGGGCTTTCTAAAGAGACCGCACCAGAGTTTGGCTGCAATTGGAGTAGCCGCGTTCGTGAGGCTGATGAGTCACACAGGACATTTATTCACGGATGAGAAGTGGGACGAAGTTCTTGCCGCACTGCAAGAGGCCGCCGAAGGCACACTCCCAGATATGAGCAAAGTTCTGGAGTGCCTGGAAGATATCGAGCTTCAGAAAGCTATTCAAGGATATAAAACAGAGAACGATGCCATGGCCGAGGAAATGACTAGACTCCAAGCAGCACTCTCGGACTACAAGTGCAGGACTGCTGTCCAGCTTCTCTTAGTTCAGGTACTAAATCAGACTTCCATCATTCTCTTTGCTCATGCCTTTCTTTGCTTTACAGGCTGTTAACGAATTGTTTACGAACCACGGCAGTCGCCTGGCAGCGTCTCACACCATGCTTCTCCTGGACACTCTTCACGTTGTGGCCGCGCATGCACACAACGTTAACAGCGACATCGCACTCCGAACGAAGCTGCAGCAAGTGAAGGTGGCAACGCAGCTGTCTGATCCCCCACTACTGCGTCTGGAAAGCGAGTCATACCACGCCTACCTCAACCTCTTGCAGACTCTATCGGTCTTGAAGCCCGAGTTTGCAAAGGACGCGGAAGTGGAAGGTCGCCTGGTGGAACTGTGCGAGGAGGTGTTGCAAGTGTACCTCTGTACCGCAACCGGTGTTGCCGCTGCTTGGGACTCCGGCGACAAGAGTAGTGCTCAGCCTCTCTGGTCGATTCCGCTCAGCTCGTCTAGGAGGCGTGAGCTGAGTGCCCGTGCTCCTCTCGTGGTTTCCACGCTTCAAGCTGTCGGCGGACTGAAGGAGTCATCGTTTGAGAAGCACCTGCTCAGATTTTTTCCGCTGCTGGCAACGCTGATAGCTTGTGAGCACGGCTCGGAGGAAGTTCAAGTGGCATTGAGCGACATGTTTAGCTCCTGGATCGGCCCGATTCTTTTGCAAGCCTGATGATATCTTTGGAGGTATATTTTTGTTTATTCTCTCGTAGCTAACCAGTTCGTTTTGCTTTCCCAAGGCTAGAGCATGATAAAAGCTGGTAACTAGAAGTTTTAAACTGTGGAAGAAGCATGTTCTACTGAGCATAAGCCAGGTCTGGGACAGCTCCGTGCCATTGGCATGGACAAGTTTTTGGTAGACCTGAAAGTTCTTGGGATGAACTTGTCCACGTACAAGGTCCCTGCGAGATGGTCGCATTCGTGCTGGAGGATTCGAGCCTGCCAGCCGGAAGCCTCCACTTTCAATGGCCTGCCTTCGCGGTCCAGTCCGGTGACTTCCACGTCGAGGTGCCTCTCCACCATCGCCCGGAAGCCATGAACGCTGGCAGCAAAAGAGCTCGCAGGGAAGAAAGATCAGCGGCAGAAAGTAAAGTTTGGAAGAGATCACCTGAGACATCCTTCAAAGAACCTGGCAGTGGCACTGGTGGTGGGTCTGAGGATGGGATTGATGATCACCTGAGCAGATATATGAGCTCCCGAAGAAAGGGAAAGGATTGGACAGGAACTTACCAGGAGCTCGAATGGCTTTCGCTGCTGGGAAAGAGCCTCGTCGCGGGAAACGTAGCTGATATACTCGGCGGTGTCCTCGAGCACAATTATCTGGAAGAGAAGAAGGGAAGGCATGGCAACCTGGAGCTATCGGCCTACCTGGAGAGGAACTCCGATCTGGGGAGCGGCCAGACCCACGGCCGGTGCCTCCCGCATTGCATCAATCAAGCCTTGGATGGTGTTCTGGACGGTGTCGCTGCTCACCTCGGAGTGTAGCACCTCTCGCGCGGCCTCATGCAAGACAGGGTCCCCGGCCTGGACGATTTCGAGCTTGGGCGCCTTGCTCTTGAATCCAAACAGGCTCCGACACTGGAATCTCCTCCTCACCTCGGCTCTCCTCACACAGTGGTGGACGCGCAGTGGTGGTCTGAGAGTTGGCAGTGGTGTGGCTGGACTCCAGGCAAGCGCCATTTCTTTTATCTTCTTTGCTTTGCTACATTGTTGACTAGTGGAATTTAACTCTTCTTGTTAATCTATACAATCTATCATAATATCTATTAAAGAGTATTTACACTTTAAAAGAAATGAAAGGTGGTAAGCCGTTCGAGGCTTGTTTGATTGAGGCTTTGCTTTTTCTTCTTTTTTTCTCTCTCTATCTTTCAAGCGCTCGTTTTAAGCTATGTACAGGAATCAAAGCGCAGGCACCAGCCTGTACCCGACGTATGTACATAAGAGAAAAGGAAGAACTCTCTCAGCAGAGGAGAGACGAGAAGAAGCTCAGGGAGGAAAATTTTGGCTGGTGGTAGCAGCAGCAGCAGCAGCAGCTAGCGGGAATTCTTCGCAGATCTTCGAAAGTTCGTTTGTTCCTTCTTCCGGAAGCCCAGGCGATGGAAGTCGTCGACGAGTTGGCGGGGGAATAATATATACACAGCGCCCCTCAGGTGTAGGACTTGAGCAGGCCCAGCGTGTAGAGAAGTCTCTCCGAGTGTGAGCGGAAGAAGCTCCCGAGCGAGAAGCGAGCAGCCGACTTGTCGGCCGATTCGGTCGGGGATGAATGGAGCATCTTCGGGGGGAATCTCTCCTGCGTCACCTTAAGGATGGCCAGCCCGACCTCCTCCCGGATCGCCTCCACCACTCGCATGTCCACGCTCCCGCCGTTGGCGTCCGTGACGTAGAACACATTCACTGCCATGTCGTCTCGGGTCGTCACCTCGGCCCTCGCCACGGACAGGCCGTTTTCTCGGAAGATCCGGGTTACGTCCGACAGCAAACCGATCCTGTCCTGTGTGGACAGCTCCAGCCTCACGCCCTGATGCCGAAAGGAATTAGTTAGATACAGATCCAAGAGAAGAAAAGAACAAAAGAGGAGCTCTTGGTACCTGTGAAGCTCTACGTAGAATAGCAGCCTCCAGACAGCGAACGACTCTTTGTCGTTCAGTTTCGGTATTGAGCGTGTATCCGTCAAGATGCCGAATGTAATACTCCTGCGGATCAAACAAACAGGGCCAGCGTGAGTCCAAAAGCACAAGAGAAACCGATCATACACATCGAAAAAACACACAAGCTTGGCAACCAGGCCTCGCAACACGCACAACAGACATAGATCCGAAAACGGACACCGCAAGCGTCCAGAACAAGCTCCAGATTCCACTCGCAAACACCCGCGGAACACACAAGACAACTTCCAAGAGATCCATTTTGCGAGTAGCACCAAGTCAAGCCGGCGTCAAAGCGACAATAAACAAAACACAGTCCAAGTCACACAACACACTTCCGCGAAAGAAAAACACGCAAAGACCAACACGAAGAAAAACAAGAAAACATAAAAGTAAAACGAAAAACAATCAGAGCGAAAAATAGTACCTGGAACGCATTCGGGCCCTCTGAGTCGATGGTGGCGTGGAAAACCACATACTCCATGTCGGTGAGCGTACACACGGTATCGAACAACAGTTTGGGACGGTCCGCGCACTGCACCGTGACAACCGAGTAGCCTTTCTCCACGCAATTCTTGACTGTTACGGTCGGCCTCCCCTTGTAGTCGACCGAGTCCGAGATGGAAGTCGGGGCCGGGCTCAACGCGGCCTCCTCTTCTGCTACCTCCATCTCCTCCTCCTTGTCCGCGGACATCATCTGATGGAGCCTCCTCTCCGTGTGAGTAAGTCCCATGGCAAAGTCCGTCCTGGCAGTCTTGCCGTCGAGCGAATCGCCCTTCATCACCTGCCCGAGCATCTGTTTGATATGGCAGAGCTTGGTGGGATCTTTCACTGGACCTCCATGGCCTTCGTGGTCGGTCACGTAAACCATGCACGCCACTCTTGTGTTGTGAGTCCACACCTCCGCGGCCACAACGTTGCAGCCAAGGCTGGCGAGGACGGCCGAGATCTCGGAAAGCAGACCCGGGCGGTCGTTGCCGGTTAGCTCGATGGCCGTGTGCTCAGCCAGCGACTGGACTCCAATTGTTCGAGCTCCAGAGCAAGTTCTATACGCTTGGCATACGCCTTTCTCGCCAAGAGCCTGGAATGGGAAAGTTACAAGCGTTGTTAGCGACGGCAAAGAAGATTGATGTGGGAGAAGGAAGAGTTCTACATACATGCTCGATGTGGGCGATGACCTTCTCGTCGGAGAGCTTGTTCCCATCACGATCTGTGACATGGAAAACTGAAAGAGGGGAGAAAACAAACATGTAAGAGCTTCGCTTGAGATGCTTGATCGTAAGAGAATGGAGACTTACCGTCCATAAACCATCCACCATCGGAGGAGATGAAGGCCTTGAGTATCGACAAGTCGAGATCTGTGAGGACCTGGACGACATCGAGAAGAATCCCATGCCGGTTTGAGCTATCAAGCTGGAAAGAAAAAGAGGACAAATCTTAAGAACAAAAGGAGAAAAAAAAAGGAAATGGTTCGCGAGAGGAGCTCACCTTGATGATGGTGGCGTGCTCCGAAACCTTGTTATCGATCACAACTCTGAGAAGACCATCACGAAATCAGTCAGCAAGAATTTTTTTTTCTTTTTTTTTGGTGAGAGCGAACCTTGGAGGATTGATCCTGGCGGCCAGCGTCTCATACTCGGGATCGAAATACGGCCAGCCCCTTCCAGTAGCCACCGCCGCAACCATTTTCCACGAAGAACCAAATCTCTAAGAAGACCAGAGATCTCGAGATTCTTCCACGAAATCAGGGCCTCCACTCTCTCCACCTGCGATGAGCCAGTTCCAGCGCTTCCAAAACCCCTCTCTTCTCCCGACCTGTGGCTGGCTGCCCGGCTGCTGTGCGCCCGCGCCGGGAATCACACCAAAATCACCTCCCAGCGCGCAGCAAATCTGAAATCCGACGAGAAATTCCCTGGATTCCAGCGAAAACGCGCGCGATCTCTCGCGGCGGCTCCTCTCTTTTCTCGCTGTGGAAGAACTCTGTTGTAATGTTAAGGCGGGCCACTTTTATCTTTAGGGTTCTTCCTTGTTAAGTAGTCTGCCAGCCACATTTAGAGCCATTTGTTTGGAGCTGTTAACCATATACTGGCGTGACACGTGGCACACGCAGATTTAGCGGGGAAATAGCGAAAGGGCGGGAAAATCCACCGGCCGGAAAATTAAATGGTTGATTTTAATGCGGCGCCGACCGGCGGGGACGTTACAGGGCGGCGGCCGTTTTCCTGAGAGTTAGGTAAATGCGCAAACCGGTGCCGCCGGTGGCCAGCAACCGGTACGGGCTGCAGCCGGTTACGCCCACCAGGTGGGGCTACCGTAGCCCGTCCGGGCCGTCACCCTTTAAGTTAACGGCCGTCGCCCCCGTCGCTTCAAATTCCGCCAGCTGGCAGCCAGCTAAGCACGTGCACGGGCAATGGCGCGAAATGGGCTGTCGGCACGCGCTGACAGGGTGGCAAGGAGTACGGATGGTACGAGCTTCCCTTCGCGGCGCCGGTCGGGCGCGCCAAAGGCCGTGGTAAAAAAAAACGAAAACGAGGGAATTGACCGGGGCCGGGACCGGCCGGGCCGGGCAGCAGCTAAAGCGCATGTCATTTAATTGGCCCGTCCAAGGGTGGCGGAACGACATGACGTGGAGGGAGGGGAAGTGCGCATTAAAGCCGGCGTCCCCGAAATATCCAACAACACACGCGCCACGTCACTCTCGCGCAACTTGGACTGGGTGGTGCCTATGACATGGTGCCGGCGGGGGGCACTTTCGACAGCGCCTTTAAAAGTCCTTTCCCACTTGTTGGTTAAAATGCCGGGGAGGGGAAAATCCCCTCCCGCCAGCCAGGCAAAGTCATGCCTAGAGCAAAGCGTCGTGTCAGAGAGATGGGCATTTTGGCCCAAAATGGGCCACCAGCCCTAAAAGTGGATGTGGATATTCCCGCCTTGTGATCTCGCGCCACATGGCGTGACGTGGCGCGCCCCTAGTGGTGAGGTGTTGAGAGGGAGGGAGCATCATATCTGTGGCATTGAGGAATTGGGGGGCCAAATCTTCCTTTATGTGCCCTAGTTTCCCATGTGCAACACATTTGCTTTTTGAAAGTTTGGCGCGACCACGGGATATTCGCTGCACAGAGAGGAGAATCCAATTCGGTGTTAAACTCCTGCAAGTTTCTCTAGAGGGGCTTTTGGAGATTTTCTATTGGTGATGGATGATGGGTCGAATGGCAAATTGCCAAGAACTGCGATGGACGCATTCAAATGCCCAATGGTGGCTTTTCGAATTGTTTAAGGATCACGCCAGCTCTTAAAGCTTTTGTGTGGCATAGCTCGCCGTTGGTCGTGTGAAAGCGCTGGAATCTCCAAGCACGCCACAGGCCACCACACAACCGCTTAAGCTAGCGCAAAAAAATGGTTTTCTAAGGGGAAAACTTTTCGAGGACTCGAGAGCTCGAATGGGATGAGAGAATGTGTGGTGCGGGTGGACTGGTTGATTCCCTGGTGCATTCCGGGCATAGTCTAAACGCAAAATGATATGGAATCTCCGCGAGAATCGTGGAGCCGTGTCAAGCAAGGTCGTGAGATTGTTTTACCTCCCGATCTTCCTAAACGCTGGTCATGTCAAATATAATAGAAAAGAAAAAGAAAATATCAAATATATTTTTGCTTTTCTGGCTTCTGGAGAAGCCGAGAGGTCAGGAGAGAGAGATTCTGTTGGTCAACAAACCCTATGTAAATTCACATGGTATACACAAAGAAAAATTTATATAAATTCGATCATGTGATCAATCTCATGAACTGGGAGCCAGCAAAATCATGGGCCTTTGCGTGACACCTTAGATCCTGTCGTGCCATTAAGAAAATCAGAAATCTCCAGACTCGAGAGCTTGAGGAATCGAAATCACCCACATGGGGAAGTGAAGTAGCGATCAGTGACAAAAACAAAGACAGTCCATGGTACCAGATGGAGCATCAAGAAAAAAGAAATTTAAAATCTCGTTGTAAGATCTGGCACGAATCATCTGGATCCCATTGTCAAGTTTTTTTAAAATTTATTTACGGATATTATAGTAAATACAAGCCAAGAACCACAGCTTTCCAGTTCAACTCGGAGATTTACAGTTCATCACGTCGTCGTTTTTGAGGCGCAAAGGTGGAATTCCAGCAGTAACAACAAAGAACACGATGAGGCCCTCTTCGTGTTCGTGTTCTTGTCGGCCACAAGAGCGATTGTTTCTATGGCTTGTTGCCTGATCCAATTTTAATATGCCTCCGTGAGCCTGCTGCCACGTTAGAGGCTGTTTGATGCTCTTTACCAGACATGGATTAGCTCGTCCACCATTTTTTAATCTCAGCTTTTCTTTCTAGTTGTTTGTGGCACATTTAGGTGTAAACAAGCTTTCCAAGTTGGTACTGATATGATCCTACGATTAAATACCATTCCCAGCACTGCAGGCTTGACAACAAAGTCGTGCTCATCTCGAAAAAACATTGATCTCTCGCCCATTTTTAAAAAACCAAAGCAATTGGATCCAAACAGGCATGCTAGTTAGAATAAATCAATCACAAACGGTTGAGATTCCGCATTAAATTACAATGTGCAATCACTCAAAAACACGATCCCCCAGCTGCCCTCCGTTGGATTGGAATCTATCCAACCGCCTGGATGGATCTATACGAAAGAAATGCTTGCCCGAATCTCTTCCCCTTGGATGGGAGTACTATACGGTCTACGTACCGTCTTGGGTCCCATGCTCTTGGAGATTGAATATGAAGTGTTTACAGTCCACTCAGAGCCCAACTGGATTTGGATCTAAAATCTCATCTGGAAGATCAAATGCCGTACGGAAGATTTTTTTTTCTTCGGTGCAGTACGACACCTTGCTTGCTTGCTTTTCTCTTTTCCAAGTTGGATCCAGCAACACGAGCTAGCCCAAGCATTTCTACTCCCAATTGAAGACTACAACAACAAAGGCTAGGAACAAGTGGTCATGTTCCTTTTTTTTTTTTCTTGCTCTCTTTCCTGTTTCAGTGGATTTCACGGGCAAGGTCAACAAAATCGGTTTCTATTCGGTTGAATGAATCCATCGCGCCGTATTTTTCTACGTTTTTTATGCCACGGTGCCAGCATGTGAGGATTGAAGTCCGGCAGAGGCAGCTTTGACTGGAATCACATGAATCTTGACACAGCCCAGACAAACCAAAAAAAAAAAAGTTAGAAAAGAAAGTCGTAAAGAAGGAAGAATAAAAGAGAGACTATACTAACCTTGCTGGCTTGCTTTGCTGGAAGCCCTGTGGAATCTAGGGGGTTGACATTCCACTCCATTTTTCAACCTGTCATGAGCGAAGAACTTGGAGGAGCGGAGCGGGCGGCTCGGGTCTATGTCAGCTGCCCGAGGGAGCTGTGACACCAACAGGCCGACCAAAGACGACCATTCAAGCTTTGGCTGCGTCATAGAGCTCTCCTAAAACGAAAAGAACCTCGTTTCGCTGACCGGATCTAAGTGAAGCCCTCCCGCTGGGTAGATAATACTGGTGGTATCGTAGGCCGGCAAGAAGCACCCGGTCAGAATCGAAAGAGATGCGGTTTCTAGATGAATGACGAGAACCTGGATAATGCGACAGCGTTGTGACGGAATCACAAGATCACAGACCATCCCTTTGAAAGTCCTGGAAACTTCGGCAAGGCGCATAGGGTGTCAAGCACGAAAAAAAAAGAAGGGAGGTTTACCTTGCAAGGTTGATGCTCAAGTCACGAATGTAAAGAGTTGCCGGACTAAGTCACAGTTGTTCGCTGCGTCCTGAAGTCGAACTCATATAGCAAAGCTATACCACGTCAACTTCAACTTCGACAAAACCTTGGGAAGGTACCGTGCAGACAAAATTCCAGTTTTTCGCTCTCGAGCCTGAAAATGAACGTCTACATTAGCCGCGCAGTTGCGTTCCCAACAAGTCCTGCCTTTGCGCATGGATTGTCGAGAGAAGGTGTCATTTGCTCCAATAAGTCGCATCTGCGCCGTCACCGTCTGTCTGGAATAAACTGATTCGTTGTGAAAGCCTGTAGAGTTTGTCAGCCCAAGCCTCCAACTAAACAATTTCGTACCGGAAGCGTGCCGTCGAACTCTTGTTACACATATCTTCCCGGCTAGACGAACTTTGTTTAGCAGTCTGCATCCAATTTGCTGAGAGTGTTAACTAAGGACCGAGCTTCTAACTCCGGAAGAGCCAGATGTCGGCACAAACTGTTAATCGCCATAATGTGGTGCCTGTTAGACAGATTTATGTCCTATAAGGCGATAACAGCAAACAGGTAAGAGGCCCATCAGAGATATTTTCATACCATGGAAGCTTGCGAACCAATGCTGCAGGATCCTTGTCCCACTCGGCCACTCCAAGGCTTTTCCCTGTAAGTTCGTCAGCGTAGCGGAGAGCCTGCCTTTGTAGAAGCATGATAACGAACTTCTGAGACAGAATAAAGCTGTGGCGATACATGTCTGGTGCCACGCCAATGATTTGACGAGCAAGATCGATCAATGCTGCAGAGGCAACAATTAGTTGACACATTTGTTTGGGCAGGCCAAGTAATGTCACTTACCTGCACCAGATTTGTCCGAGAACAAGTAAGGTTGCAGCCAAGGCCACAGTCGCTGAAGTGTCTCTATAGACTTTTTATCTTCTTGAGACAAGTGTATGGCACCAATAATGAAACCTGGAATGGGAAGTCCTAAAACAGAAGAGAAAAACTGCCAAACTTGGAGATGAGCAGTTCGAGACAAAGCATCAACCAAACGCACGAACTGAAAGAAAATGTTTTAGAGGATCTTTACCAAAACAAAAACATACCTCAGCCAGCGCAAGCTCTTGAATAAAGCTTCATTTAGGATCAAGTAGCAGAGACACTGATTGCTTGGCAAAATCGTCTGGAAAATCATTGCTGTGTTGCTCAAGAGACATGAGCTTCTGAAAGTCCTGAAAGCTGGTAAATATATACTCCAGTCTTGTCACATTGAGCTGATTGTTCTCGGAGTACAAAAAGTACTTGAGAACTTTTCGCATTCGAGAGCTGTAACCATGAGTACGTGTTATTCAACCTACAGCCAAAGTGGTTGCCAAACCTGTCATCGGTGACTAGACGCTTCGCGACATATGGATAACACTCCTTTGTGATAGTGTAGTCTGGATCAAACTCAAGGCCAATCCCTTCCAACAGCGAGAATGCGCGAATGATCAGTGAAAAGTACGATGGAACAACTAAAGGATAATCTTTGGAGATTTTTGCGATGCCATTGGATATCTGTGACACGAGAAATTAGCAGAAAGAATCAAGTAAAAATAAACTTACCTCTTGCATGTTAACCTTTCGTGCGCCGCCACCACGGAGTAGCTCCGTAAAAATTCGAGTAACTTCTGGTACTATTGTAGTAGTCATTCTAGGATCAGTTTGATCTGGCAAGAAACCCAGCTTCACAAGATCTTCGGCTACACCAACGTAATCGGAGTTTCCTACATGTGCCAGGTATTCAATCATTGCTAACTGCCGTTCTTCTGTAACCTGTGCTGTGGATAACAATGTTTATTCAATGGCAATGAAAAAAAACAAGAAATTGAAACGGTAAGCCCACCTCTGTCATTAATCCATAGTCTAAGATACAAAGGCGTCCATCCTCGGTCCGCAGAAGGTTTCCGGGATGAGGATCCGCATGAAGGAAACCACTCTCGAGAAGTTGAAACAAATAGCAAGTCAGAGCAGTATTTACCAGAGACAATGCATTCGCTTCTCTGATTTCCGATAACTTCTCTCCATCAATCCATTTTGTCGTGAGAACCTAAAGGAGAACGTAAAACAAATGGGAAGTACAAGCACAAGAAAAATTTTGTTACCTGACCAGATGTATACTCCATATAAACTTTGGGGATCACAACCATCGGAACTGGAGACATGCTCTTTATAAATCTTTGCGCATTATTGGCCTGCTAAATAAACGTAAGATGCAAACACTGAAATGACCGTGGAACAAACCTCTTTGAAATAGTCAAGCTCGTCAAAAAACCGCAAAGCCCAGGTGTCCAGAAGATCGACAAAGTCCGAGTGAGACTTTAACATGCGCTGTAAAGTGCCTGCGACTAGTCGCAAAATAAATAGATCGCAAGCGATGACTTGGAGCACTCCGGGCCTCTGTACTTTGACAGCAACGACGTCGCCATTACTTTTCAGTCGAGCTTTATACACCTGAAAGATGGATTTCACATTCCCTAGAGAATACCAAGTTTTGTACGCAGCGTACCTGGCCCAAAGAGCCCGCAGCAATTGGCTCCGATGAGATGTCGTAGAAAACATCGTTTCCAATATTCTTTTCGATCATTTGCGTAGCCAACTCGTTCGAGAATGGAGACACTTTGTCTTGAAGCTTTTGGAGCTGCTCCAAGTAAGCAGTGGATACCATGTCGGGTCGAATGCTCAAAGCTTGGCCAATCTATCGAAAAACACCGAAACAATTGATGAGCTTCAGAACAAAAGGGGAGAAAACATGAATTTGCGTACCTTGATAGCAGTCGGCCCGAGCTTAGTGATGAGCAGCAAGAATTCGGCAGCGCGACGCCTCTCGTTCTCTCTCGACTTATCTAAAGTCTTGTCAAGCACAATGCTTAAGATAAACAAGGAGCACTCGGACGCTACGGCTAAAACTCTCGCAATCACTCTAAATGGCCGCGCTTGGAAATACGAAGAAATGGCATCTGGATCGTACCTCACGGAAAGCTCATCCTCACGGCGCGATCCCTCGATCCAACGCAGGATTTTCGACAATGCGGGCTCAAATCGCCTCGCCACAGAGCTAAACCTATCATTCAGTGCCGTGCGACGCTGCGCCAAGGAAAAAGAGGATCGCAAATGCGATCCTCTTCTCCCATTCCGCCGCAGAGGCCTCGATTCCACTCGAAATCTTCGCGAAATCCCTTCCTTGCCCGCTGAGAATCTTGGATCGACGAAGACCGCCTTGGATCCCGGAGCCTCGCAAGCCATGCCACAATAAAATAAAATAAAAAAGAAATATGCTAAAGAACCCTAAACCATGAAGGCTTTGAAAAACTTGAATCGCAGCCGTTCGTTCGCAGATCTAGGGTATCATTAGGGTTCTTTCGTTGTGCTGCGGCTGAGGAGGAGAAAGAGCGCCATCATGCAGAACGAGGAGGGCGAGAACGTCGATCTCTACATCCCCAGGAAGTGGTAAGCGCGAATCTCCCGCTTCCTTTGTGGCCGCTCTCATCAGCGCGATTGATTTTCTTGCGCAGCTCGTCGACCAACAGGCTCATCACTTCCAAGGATCATGCGTCCGTGCAGATCAATGTCGGGCATCTGGATTCCCAGGGAGTTTACATCGGCAAGTACACCACATTCGCCTTCTGCGGCGCTGTCCGATCTCAGGTAAATCTCCGCGACTTTCTCTTCTCTTGAGTTAGTAGTTCTTCTTCGTGCTCTTTCCAGGGAGATGTGGACAGTGCGCTGGATCGGCTATGGCAGAAGAAGAAAGCCGAGCTCAAGCAGTAGCGGCGGTGAACCACCAAGAACTCGCTTCTCATGTTTTTTCTCGTTTCTCCTTGGATGAAATAGTAAAAGATCTTCCTTTCTGGAACACTTTTGTCTTCGTTCACCCAAAAAGCAATGCCAAAGTTTTTAGAATGGTTCTTTACTCCCTTTTTTCCTTCCGAAAGTATAAATACTCGAACCCTAAACTCTCGTGACTTGGCTATGGCGACTACAAGCAACGACGCACTTGCGGCATGGAAGGCTCAGTTGGCGTTTAAAGGAAAGGTGAGAACGTCCCTGATAGGCGATCTTCTGGGGTTAGTGGCGCCGAGCATCCCAAAACGCGAACAAGAGGAGCTGCAATCGCTGCTCGCCGCGAGTGGCATCCACAGAGGAGAACAGCTGCGGAAATTCGATGCCGGCAAGCTTCTCGATATGGGCGTCTCGGAATGGGTGTGCAAGGTGCTGCTGGAGAAAGAGATCATACGCTCAGGTTGGCGAATCCTTTTGGCCTTCAAAGAATTATCTCTTCGATGGCAGGAATATCGACTCCCGTGGCGATGAGTGCGCTAGCGGCGTCGCGTGTGGACATCAAGTCGTCGGACCTGGCGATTTTCGACGGGGGATATGCAAGCGAGGAGCTGCTGGATCGGCTCCACAAGGAATTCCGCTGCAAGCCGTGGTTGGATCTGGCAAAGGCAGACATGTGAGAGGATGATGCTGAAGCCTTAGATTTCCGAAAGAAGGAGGTGGAGGCTCTCTATGGCTACCGCACAGTCCTCAGGACAATTGTCAGGGAGGCGCCGGTTCCATACGCTCTTCGCGACGACGAATGCTACGTCGGGAGCTTCTACTTCATGAAACTCGCCAAACCATCCCATGATTCGAAAGAGAAGGAATGGTCGCGGGTGGTGTGGATGCTGCAAGTTCAGAGCCATGAGATGGAGTTCGCGGAGGCGCTGGGGAGATTGATCCAGGGCGTGCGGAAGATCCAGCAGCACCAGGCCTCGAGAGATCTGGCGTACGGAGTCGTTTGTGGCACGAAATTCGTGAATGTTTACGAGTTCCATCTCCAGATTGGCAGCGATGCTGGAGTTCTTCCCCAGGCAGTAGAGAAGTACGAATTTACTTTGTATCAGCCCTTGGCGGGGTTTGAAGCGATCGTCACCCTCATGTGTGCTAGCGAAAAGGATCACGGTTTTGTAGGTGATGATTTGGAAGAACCCTAGATGATTTGGAAGAACCCTAATCCTTACAAGAGCCCAATTTCGAATTTGCCGCCCGACACGTGGTGGGGCACGCATGCTCCTTCCAGGCGTCACGTTTGCGTGTTGCGTATGCGTGTCCCCATGCCGTGTAACGAAGGTAGATCGTGTGGTGGGGTAACTGGCATATTCACGAGATATCCTCTCGAGTTAAGCTTATCCTAACAACCGTCGGCGCCACGTGGGCGGAATTACGAAAGAGTCCGGAAAAATCGGCGGCGGAGATGCCGGCGGCGCAGCAGCGGCGCCGCTAGGACCGGCTAGGGTTTATATTTCTGGGCAGGGCGCCGCGACGCGGGAGCTTCCAATCGTGTAAGATCTGCGTAGCTAGGGTCGTGTTTGTCTGCGGCGATTTGTCTGGGGATTCGGCCATGGGAGGCGATTTTAGGATACAGAGATTAAGGATCGTAGTGAGAATGTAGCGGTGGCGCAGGGCGATCTAGGGATTCCAGCACAGGCTTGATCGATTCGAGGCGGCAGATGGTCGTTTGCTCCATGGCGCTCTACTCCAGCTCCCCTCCGGCCCCTGTTTCTTGCGGCAGCCATTGCTCCACTCACCACAGCAGCGGCGTCTCTAGCGACTCGGAGGCCCATCTTTGCTGGCTCCAGGGCGGGCAGAGCTCGGGGCCACGGCAGTCAAGGGCCGGCGGCCTCTCCTACCTCTTCGCCAGTCCCAATGCGCGGCAGCACTCGTCTTGCGCGATCAGTGACGCGCTGGAGTCGGGCAGCTTGTCATCGTCGGTGAGGAGCGTCTCTCAAGTGGATCATCCCAAATGGGAGGATGGTCGCAGCGGTAGCATTAACATTCCCGGATCTTCGTTTGGCAAGCGCAGCTCGGTCTCGATCATCCAGAGCCCATACACTTACAGTAGCTGCATCTTCTCGGTGGCCGGGCGCGAAGCTCCTGTTTGCGCTGATCTTCCTCCGCTGGATCCACACGTTGGTTCGTGGGGTAGAGGTATTGCCACTGCTGACACGCGGACACCGGTTTATAGGAGAGAAGGATTCGAAGTTAGTCAAGAGGAGAGCAAGAGCTTGACAGCAGCGCTCACGGATTTCCTTGTACATAATGGCGGTAATTCTTTCGTGGGCTTTGACTTTAGTGACGTGCCGGATTCCAGAACGGCGAAACAGGCTTCACCAAATGAGATCTTGGTGGACGCCCAGCGGCGGCACAAGGTTTTCAAGGATCCGTTCATAATCAAAGCGTTTAGATTGGCCGAAGAAGCTCATCGCGGTCATGTAAGTTTTTCTCTTTTCTTGTTTCCTTCTTCTTATCTTCTTACGTGTTCTTGCTTGCTTTCTTGCAGTTTAGGCGGAGCGGAGAACTTTACCTGACTCACTGCGTAGAGACTGCTATACTTTTGGCGTCGGCTGGTGCGGAAGCCACCGTAGTTGCCGCTGGTTTACTACATGACACGCTAGATGATTCAAGCATTGACGAGGCGCAAATTCGTGCCATTTTTGGAGACGATGTCGCTGACCTTGTTGTAGGGGTAAGATGTAGTTTTGATACTGTTTTTGAACGATGGTACTAACTTTGGTTCTAAACAGGTATCGAAGATAAGTCAGCTAAGCCAGCTTGCTAGGGACAACAACATCGCTAGCAAGACGCTAGAAGCAGGTCGTCTCAGGACAATGTTTCTAGCGATGGTCGACGTGCGTGTGGTGTTGATCAAGCTTGCTGATAGGCTGCACAACATGCGAACTTTGGAAGCTTTGGCAACGGAGAAGCAGAACCGGATCGCCAGTGAAACTCTCGAAATCCTCGTACCCATAGCAAACAGGCTGGGAATATGGAGCTGGAAAGCAGAGATGGAGGACCTGTGTTTCAAGTACTTAAATCCTACCGAGTATCAGGAACTTGCTGCCAAACTGATAGAATGCTGCCGCGGAGGCGTGGTACTGTCGGCGATTGAGCAGCTTGACAAGGCGCTACGTAAAAGTAAGATCAAAATCGAAGATCTTTGTGGCCGGTCTAAAACTCTTTTCAGCATTTACACTAAGATGAAGAAGTAAGTTGACAAAAAGCACTTTATGATTTCGTCTCATCATTGGTCATTTGCAGGAAAGGGCGCAGTATTGATGAAATATACGATGTCCGAGGTCTTCGTTTGATTGTCAAAGATGAAGCTGATTGCTACAAAGCCTTGGAGTTTGTGCACAAGCTCTGGGATCACATTCCAGGAAAACTAAAGGATTACATCAAACAGCCAAAGGCTAACGGGTAAGTGGCTGGCTTTCATGTTTTGGAGCTTTGAACTGAGTCCGCCTTTCGCAGGTATCAGTCATTGCACACAGTTGTAAGCGGCAAGGATGGTCTTCCTTTGGAAGTTCAGATAAGAACGAAAGAAATGCACAGCCATGCCGAATTCGGTATGGCTGCGCACTGGCGATACAAGGAAGGAAACGATACAAAGCACTCCGCTTTCCTTTTGCAACGGGTGGAATGGGCAAGATGGATCCTCACCTGGCACAGCGAAATCATGGACAACAAGCTACGAGTTTCACCATCACATATGGACTTGAAGTCATCCTGCCCGTTTCCTTTCCACAAGGACGATTGTCGGCACGCCTTTTCTGGACCGCCGGAAAGCGAGGACGATCCACTGTTCGTGATCATGCTCAAAGACGAAAAGGTATCTAGCTTTTTGTTTGTTGAAGTTTCCAAGTTGTGCTGACTTTGCTTGTGTGTCTCCATAGATGATTGTTCAAGAGCTTCCTCCGGGTTGCACTGCTGCCGACCTCGTCACGGAAAGAGGCGAGGATCACTTTCTTCTCGATCCAGGCGTGCTCTCGGAGATGACACCCCGAGTAAACCATCAGGAGGTGGAGAACTTTCACCAGAAGCTCCGGATGGGAGACGTGGTGGAGATCGTGGAGAAGGAGGAGAGGTCCAAGGTGTTGGTCACCATGGCTCGAGTTCCAGCCAAAGCTTCCAACGAGATAAGTGTTTACAGAGAGCAGATCCGCCGGATGTACGCTGCTGACAGGAGCTGCAAAGTCGACGCACGCAAGAGCTTCGAGCTCGCAAAAGAGAACACACAAGTTGCGGGGCTGACTTAGATAAACCAGAGAGAGAGAAAAGAAAGGAAAAGAAGGAGGACTTCCTCACAGGTACATTGTTTCATTCGATTTGTACATTTCACTGTGTATATAACAGGAATCTTGACTTTGTACCACCGAAAAGAAGTTTCTGGTGTTCACTCTAAAAACTTTAAGGTGGCTTTCAATTCAATCGTTGGTGGGGATTCCTCCAGGATGTGATCTTCACCCTCGTCATCGCTGGATTTGGCTCAAATAGTATGGTTTCAGTGCGAAGATTTTCATTTGCGAGGAGCTCGAATTGGAGGATGATCAAGGTTTTAAGTTTGCTTCTTGTGATACTCGCGTGTTGTGAAGGAGCAAGGCTCCAAGGTACTTTACTGTGTGTGTGTTTTCATCCAAGTGGTTGTAGCTAACAAGGCTATGGTTTTGCCCAAAAAAAAGCAAGTAGTTTGGCACTGGCACACTGGAGGAAGGTGAGTGATGAGATTATAATTATCATCACTGATAATTTGATTGCTGGAACCTTTGGTTGTGAGATTTTTGATAGACCGACTATGAGGATGTGGATCCTATTCCACAGCGGAGGTATCGTCCCAGGCCAGGCCCTACTCCAAGATCCATCCCCAAAGTTTCTAAAGGGAACTAAAGAAGAAAACATGTCATACATATCATATCTTTGTTAATATATAATAACAAAGAGTAAGATAAATAGCAAATAACAAAGATAACAATAATAGTTTGTATAAACCCTAAACCCGTATCCTCTGTTTTTATCTAGGGTTTTTCTTTGACGAGTTTCACACGCGCTCGAAGGTAATAGAATTCTTTACTCGCTAATTAATCCGATTCTAGGCACGATGCTTTCGATTCTCAAGAGAGGCCTCGTGCATTCTTCGTTTTACCTCAAACGGGAAGTTTTGGACCAGGGCTGCGATTCCAGGGTTGGGCGCTGGAGCTCCAGATTCATGGCGTCGGCGACGGCGGGCAAGGTCATTACGTGCAAGGGTGAGTGATTTGCCGCAGCAATCGATCCATCGCGCGCCGGCGATCTTCGGCATTGCTGAGATATCTGGATTTGTGGCAGCTGCTGTGGCGTACGAGGCTGGCAAGGCGCTGAGCATTGAGGAAGTGGAAGTAGCTCCTCCAAAGGTATGGATCGATCGTTTTCATCCAGGGTCCGGATCATCAACCTTATCCCTTTCGCAAAATTTTGGTTTTTTTCCTTCGTTTCTTTGTGTAGGCTAATGAAGTACGCATCAAAATCACGCACACTGCTCTCTGCCACACCGATCACTACACACTCAGCGGACAGGTTTGTGAGCTACGATTTTTTCCTCTTCTATGTATGATAAATTGTTCTTGACAGGATCCAGAGGGGCTCTTTCCATGCATTCTCGGACATGAAGCGGCCGGGTAAGCGAAAGAACTTGGAGGATCTTTGTTCTAGCTCAATGTAAACTCTTTTTCTTTCTAAGGATTGTGGAGAGTGTTGGGGAGGGTGTCACCGATGTGAAGCCAGGAGACCACGTTATTCCCTGCTACCAGGCCGAGTGCAAGGAATGCAAATATTGCAAGTCCGGGAAGACAAACCTGTGCATCAAGGTTCGTCCAGCAACCGGCAAAGGCGTGATGCTTGCTGATGGCCAGCCGAGATTCAGTGTCAAAGGAAAGCCTATCTACCATTTCATGGGAACCTCGACTTTCAGCGAGTACACGGTTGTCCATGACGTTTCAGTGGCCAAGATAAATCCGGAAGCGCCGCTAGACAAGGTTTGCTTGCTTGGATGCGGTATTCCTACAGGTAAAGTTCTGAGCCATTTTATCAGATTAATCTGTTTTTTCTCTTGCAGGTCTTGGTGCCGTGTTCAACACTGCTAAAGTTGAGGCAGGATCAACAGTAGCAGTTTTTGGGCTTGGAACAGTCGGCTTGGCGGTAAACGAGCTTTTGATTCGTTAAAAAGCTGGGAGTAATGTTCACGTAATGCAGGTCTGTGAGGGAGCCAAGAAAGCTGGAGCATCAAGAATAATTGGAGTGGACATGAATCCAGCCAAGTACGAGCTGGGTAAGGGATTCGCATCAAGCCTTTTAGCACACACGCGTTTATTTATTTTGCAGCAAAGAAGTTCGGAGCAACCGAGTTTGTTAATCCGAAGGACCACGACAAGCCAATCCAGCAGGTTTGCTGTCTGCATTCCTCTACAACAGAGAACTGAACGGTGTTCGAGACTGTAGGTGCTGGTCGATCTCACAGATGGTGGAGTGGATTACAGCTTCGAGTGCATCGGAAACGTCAAAGTCATGCGCGCTGCTCTAGAAGCTTGCCACAGGGTAAGAGAGACATTCCAAATGAAAAACTTTTGATTCCTTTTCTCGCAGGGCTGGGGAACGTCAGTGATAATAGGAGTTGCCGGAGCCGGCCAGGAAATCTCTACGCGACCATTCCAACTTGTGACTGGTCGAGTGTGGAAAGGCACGGCATTTGGTGGCTACAAGAGCCGCAGCGATGTTCCAAAGCTTGTCGAGCAGTACTTGCAAAAGGTACGAGCTTCCATTCTTCCCAGGAACTTGAGCTGATTGTCTGCTGCGCAGGAAATCAAGGTGGACGAGTATATCACTCACAACTTCAAGCTGGACAGTATCAACGAAGCGTTTGAGCTCCTGGAAGCAGGCAAGTGTTTGAGAGCGGTGATTCACATGGAATAGAGTACCTTTTCGTCTCTAATGAATGAAATGGTGGCTCTCTTTTCTAGCTCTCATCTTCACGCTTTTAAAGGTAGTACTTTCTTTTGTACTTCGCATTTTTTGCTAGGTCTCCGCTTGCTCTAGTAGCGATGGGTCCTTCCAGATTGCAGCTATGGATGCGCTCGGTCATCAAGCGGCGAAGGGCGTATGGTCTCACAGCCAAGAACAAAGTGGAGGTCTCGGGCAAGGCTGGAAAAAGATGGGTGGCGCTGTGGGGAAATGGCGATCAAGGCAGGCTCGGCCTCAGCGAGTCGGGCTCTCAATTCGAGCCAGTTTTGTGCCGAGCGCTGGAATCTCACGAGCCTTGCTCTGTCTCTTGCGGTGGTGCTCACACACTCATCCTCACTGGTATGTTGGTCTTTTCCTCTCGTTTCCATGGATTTTTCTCTTCGCTACTTTGGATGGTATTTGCAGACAAGGGACGTGTGTTTGCAACTGGATTGAACAGTAGCGGTCAGCTTGGAGTTCCATTGAAGAGCGAATCTAGCTTTGTAAGTTTCTTCCTTTTTTCTACTTGGGAGCGTTCATTCTACGTGATTTTTGGTGTAGGATCCTGTGGAGGTGCATGGGTTTCCTGATCCTTGTGTACATATTGCAGCTGGACGGTACCATTCTGCTGCCATCACTTGTATAAAATCTCTAGCTGGATTGTCTTGCATGTTCTTTGTGATCTCTCTGTTCTCTTTCCCTTTTCGCTTTGCTGAATCGTTTGTGACTTGTGTCTATGCAGCAAGTGGCGAGACTTATGTCTGGGGAAGAAACAGCGAAGGTCAGCTGGGACTCGGCAAACGTAAGTGTAGTGTTTTCTTTTCTCCCAATCGTTGCAAGCTCTTGCTTGTTACAGGTGCTAAGTCGGTTTACATCACTCCGCAGAAGATGGAATCCTTGGCCGGAATGCGCTTGAAGGCTCTGGCTCTGGGAACGGACCATTCACTTGGACTTGCGGGTATGAAGGGAAGAAACATATGACAAATGGTGATGTTTGTTGTCTTGTTGTTTATTTTTCCAGAAACTGGCCAAGTTCTGAGCTGGGGAACCAATAGATTTGGTTGCCTTGGACACGGCGAGATGACGGGATTCTTTGACTTCTTTAAAGATACAAAGTAAGTGGTGTGTTTGTTGCTTACGTCTATAATCTCGTACTTCACAGTGAGTACACTCCAAGGATAATCCACTGTCTAGAAAAGCTCCAGGTGAAATTCGTGCTTTGCGTATTCACTAAGTAGACATTTATTTTTCTTTTCGTGCAGGTTCGTAGCGTTTCGGCCGGACTAGTGCACTCTGCGTGTGCGGATGGTAAGGAGGTGATGTGTGCAAATCTTTCTTTATTTCAATGTTTTTATTTTCTCCACAGACAGTGGAACGATTTACTCGTTTGGCCAAGGCTCGATGTGTCAGCTGGTATGGTCGTCTCGTCAGTTTCTTCTTAGCTTAGAGGAGAGGTCTTGAGATCTCAATCTCTGATGAATTTCTTAGGTGAAGATGACGAACCTGCTTGAATCTTAGATCAACAACCAAGAAGGCGGCGCCAGTCACGTAGTTGCTTGGGATAGTGTGTGTGTGCTAAAGTTTCTTTTCTTCTTTTCTTTTTGTCTTTCTCCCTTTTCCTTTCACTCAAGGTGTGATATTTATGCAGGGCCTTGGCAACAACAACGATGCGTCACAGCCATGTCCAATTCCAGATCTTCCTCGCGTCTCTTCCATTTCGTGCGGAGGCTATCACACCGGTGCTATAACTCGTAAGAAGAAAACGCTCGTTTCATCCTCACTATCTTTTCTCTTGTGTTTTAGAGGACGGCGACATTTATACGTGGGGATCTAACGAGCATGGCTGCCTGGGCTCTGGGTAGGCACACAGAAAAGCTTTCATTGCCAGAAAGTCTCAAGTTTTTATCAGATTTCGTGCGAGTAGCAAGCCACTGCGTTTGGAAAGCTTGGCCGAGGCATTCATGTCAGAGGTATCTATCGCATTTCACTCTAACAAATCTTACTGTTGCGTGATTCCGTGTTTTAGATATCGTGTGGATGGAAGCACACAGCAGCTATAAGCGGTAAGCAAAACCCAAGCTAGAAACTTGATGAAAGCTCTAAGGAACAATGTATCCCTCGCGAGTGTAGATGGCTACATTTTTAGCTGGGGATGGGGAGGATCATATGGAACTTACGCAACGCAAGCAGAATCAAGCGGCGGCCAGCTCGTAAGTTTCTCCAAAGTTCCAAAGTTCTTCGTGAAAATATCGAAAGGTCTTCGTGCTTTTTCCAGGGAGTTGGGACCGATTTTGATTTTTTCGAGCCTGTTCCAATCGAGATGGATGATCGGCTTTCGGCGCTTCACGTCTCCTGTGGTTTCAATCACACGGCAGCCATTCTCGAGGAGATAGAGATATAGAAATTCTTTGCTTGTATTCTTTTGAAGTCACAACACGAGGTGGTCCGGCTATTCTTTTTTCAGACTATCATTTCTTTGGATCAGGTCGGCAGTTTCATTCCTACTGCTACGCGCGCTGCTTCCCCCCTGAAGTAGACCAGTGGAACAATTGACGAGCCATCAGAAGCGAGGCTTGGAATTCTTTATCTAAAATTTGGTTTATATATTGGAATTATTGATTGGAATAAGTATTGGTTTTTGGAACGAGAAATGCCAGGATCACCATTGGTTTGTGGGAACAGGAACTCTTGCCGATGACTTTCTGTGCGATAAATGCAAGGTGGTGGCCGAGCTTCCTCTTCTGAACTCCATAACTTTTGCTATGGGAGCCGGCAGTAGCAGCAGCGAGATTGAGAAACTTATCAAAGGCTTTCAAGAGCTTTCGAGTTCTTCCAGATCGACGATAGGTTCTTATTCCTGAAATGCTTTGGAGACAGAACCATTGTATTTCATATTTATTCTGGTATAGTTAGATTTAACTAGATAAACGATCTGCTAAGTCCAGAGTGAGAGCAACCATGGTTAAAGTCGGGTTCCAGGATCCACTTCTTGGCCACAGTGCAGCACCTGTGATATAAATGTTTTGCGAGCCCGCCAAGCGATAGTCAAGATCCACTAATTGATTACCATCGTCTCCAATAGGAAGAGATGATCCCTCGTGAACGCATCCTGGTCGGCGAGTCACCTTTTTGGCCGGGCGCTGGCTAGTCCATTTGTCCTTGTTCCAATACTGGAGAGAGCTTGACTTGTTGGGGGAGAGGATGTTCTCCAGCACTTGGAAAGCTCCTGCTTCCATGGCATCCCACACTTCCATATCACCTCTAGACTGCTGGATCTGCAGCTTGATGTTGGTTGTCAAGTCTGGATCTTTGTCGTTCTTTCGAATCCAAGAGGAATTCTTGATCTCTTGCTCACCCAAGATGGCAAACACAAATAAAACGTACTCCTTTGACTGTTTGAGCTGCTCCGGAGTTGCACTAGTGAGAACATCCGGCATTCGATGGCCCATGGTAATGATATCTTCGGGTTCCAGACTTGGGCTTGATATCACAGTTGCTTGGATGTGAAATTGCAGTTTTCCATGTACACCTGAAAAACCAGAATAAAAAAAAAAAAAAAACAGTTAAAGTTGGATGAACCAAACGAAGAAAACAACCTGCCAAGTAGAACGCTCCAATCTGTGGTGTCTGCTGGATATCAAGTCTGCTGGCAAATGGATACTCCTTTCGAGGCACTCTTGCTGTGATGGCACTAATAAGATGGGAGCTAAATTGCAGTGGAGCTTTTGCCAGCGCTGGTATGGAATTTACGAGTAGAGTGGCGGGTGGAATTGCGCCCATGGCAAGCACGATTCTCGTTCTAGCGCTCAACGTGACTTCTCCTTTGGATGTCTCAAGCACCCCTTCACTTTCTGAGATTCTCTTCACCACGCAGTTGATAACGATTCTCAAAGGAGCCCCATGACCTTGTTTCGCAAGCGTTCTCTGGCGCAGCACTAGCTGGAGCAAAGAACCGACCACTGAAAATTTGGATCCGTCTTCAATTGAAAGTGGAGCTGGCATCACCCGCATCGCAGAGCTGACAGTGTGGAGTCGGCTGTGCATTAGCTGCATGATCTCTTCCTGCAAAGCGGAGCGGTAGAATGAATTAGTAACATTCAAAAGCCTCTCAGCTCTTTCGAAGTAGCGTCCAGCGGCGTCGATCACGGACGGGTGCCATCCCTCCATTTCTTGGGCAGTCGGTCTCGGGCACCAGCCGCTCCATTTCGTCGATCGCCCGCCAAAAAAAGGTGCCACCCCGTGTACCCACTTTGCATAGGGAGACTCTGCTGTGGCTTGCGTGAGTGTCCACGGATAGCTTTCGAGTTTTGCTGCGACCGTGCCTTGGAGAGCAAGGGGAAGACTTTGGAAGTGAGCGGGCAAAAAGAAAGGTCCTCGCTCCAGCATGAGGATTTTTGCATGAGGACTTTTCTCTAGAATTTGAGCTGCAAAGGCGTAGCCGCAGAATCCTGTGCCAACGATGATGTAGTCAAACGGGCCTGACTGCTGGACACTGTCCCAGCTTGGAACGAAAAAGAGGTCGTTCATGATCGAAGTGGAAGTGGGATACTGTTCCCCAGGATGTGGGAATCCAAATTCCCCACTGCAAGCATAGAAAAAGGAGGCGAGCAAAAAGCAAAGATGCAACATAGTGTAGAGCAGAGGAATGGAGTGTGAAGCGAAGAGAAAGGATATACATATATATACATATGAGGTTGCAATCTTCATATGTATATGCAAAGTATCAGTGAAAAAGAAAACAAAAACTTTTAGAGCCGAGCAATCAGCACAACACCTGTACATTTTCACAAGGCAGCAGCAGCATTGGAATTGGACCCATCTCTGGAGAGCCATCAACTTCGCTTCTAGCTCGAATTGACTACTTCGAAACTCTGTGGTGGCTTTTCTCGAACTAAAAACGACAACAACATTCGCTTACTTGTTTGGGAGTAGCCGTGAACAGTATCAAGGCAGTACTAAGATGTAAGATGATAAAATGGCAAAACATAGAGGCCGTCATATGATGCCATATTCATGCGACCTCT